AACACGTAGCCGAGCGAGTGACGGTCTAATAACCCCTTTCTTCCAGTCGATTAAGGGGTTCACTGGGAGGCCAAGAAGAATATCGCGATTATCAGGAACTTCGATGACGTAAAATTCTGCAGAATACTCATCAAGGCCATCCATTCGTAGCGTAAGAGGAATTGTTCGCTTCTGCAACGTTGTAGTTCGCTGGTCCGCTAGCGTGAGGTTCAACATAGTCGAATGTTCGACAATCCTCTCAGCCAGTCCATGCTTAGCCAAAAATGTAGGGGTCACCGCATCGATTGTTGCCCCACAAATCCACTGGCCGAAAGAACGTCATCGCCCAGTTGAATTGCACATTGAGTCGTTATAAACGAACGCGAAGAACGATCTCCGAGCTGAATGTTCACCTCGGCTGAATGAGGATGAAGTTTGTCCCGTTGAATGGGCTTAGGACGAAACCCACTTGATTGCCCAGCATCAAGGGGTTTTACTCGTTTAAAGAAGCCGGAGTAGAATCATTCTCATCCACCACGAGCTTGTCAAGCAGGGCTTAGTACTTCGCCTTGTAGTTGGTTTTATCACGTCGTGGTTGGTTTGGAGACCTGGTTTTTCTGTCAGACGGTTGCGTCGGACGCTTGTCAGGAAATTTGACCCAGCACTCCTCTGGCTTGTGAAACCCACGATGACAATTTATACACTTGCACTTTTGTGGCCTCGGTTTGTTCTGAAGGTCTGTCTGTTCTCTTTGTTGTCCCGAGCATCGCCGTTGGAAGATTTCTTTGGTGTGAAGGCCTGGGAGCTCTTTGATTCCTCCTCAAGAGCTTCTTCAGCAAAACCTTCTGCAATGACTTCCTCAAGGGTCTGAGGGTTCTTACGAAGAATTTGCTTGCGCAATCTGGCGCTAGTCAGGCCCTTCAGAAAGATCTCTTTGGCGAAAGTTGGTTCCAGTGGAACTAACCTGAGTTGCTCTTGGAATTTAGCGACATATCCGTGGTAAGCACCACGCTGCTTGATGTTGAGCAGAGTCGTTCGCATCTTCTGTTGGAAGTTCGGTTCTTTGAAGTTCTTTTGAAGAGAATACTTCATGGCACTCCACGTCTTCAACGTGTCTGGACGCTGCATATACGTCTCGTACCAAGTGATGGCGCTCTTTCTCACACATTGGTCCAATTCTAGACCAACGATGACTCCATCCAGCTCTAGGTCGTAGCCTTTGAAGGTAAAATAAGATTCGAACTGGAAAATAAAGCTGTTAAGCTTGACACCATCAATGTCGCCGTCAAACGTCGGAGTGTTGCTGTCCATCTTTCGAAGTGTTCGGTTGCGACCTCCTAATGACATATTGGCGTCTCCTGCTTGGTGAGCCGTCGGTCTTTGGGTTGGCGTAGCCGGCGCTGTTTGCATGGGCTCATGAGCTCTAAGAGCAGCAGTTTTTTGGCTTTGCATCTCGGTAACAGCAGCGGCAACTCGATTTGCCATCTCATTTACTTGCTACACACTTGCAGCGTTCTGCTGGAGTTCATGGAGAGCAAGAGCCGTATAATTAATAGTTGTAGCTGTCTGTTCCGCAAAAGCCTGCATCTGGCTTACAATCTCAGTGTTCTGATTCGCCGTTTCTTGATTCCTCTCGACAACACCAGACAGCAGTTGAATGCCATCGAGCACGCGATCAAGCCGTTCGTTGACTTGACCCAGGCGACCATCGAGTTCTGCTAATGACTCTTCAACAGCATTTATGCGATCCGTATTGTAGGACTCGCGGTTGCCATCCTCCAACAGTCGGTGACTAGGCGCAGAGTCACTGTGGCCCAACCGGGTGGCAACACGTCGTATTGGTTCCATCTTTTGAGAGTTGGTCGTTGAATCTGCAAACTCTACTATGTCGCAATAGTGTGTAGCTCTATTGGATGGTACCACTTAGGAAGCTTAGCACTGAAGGACTCGGGCGAATGAGGGCCGTCGACGTTCGACTTTGCAGTGTTGTACTTGTTGCGTTGTTGAAAAATTGAGAACTGATTGTTGTTTTAGCCACTACATCGTACTCCTATGGACTACTTGAGTGGCTAGATGTACAGTAT